TTCATACTTACTGTTGTTAAAATTATGTAACTGTTTCATCTATGTGTACTTAGAGTATAAACACTTTGCTGCGTAGAATGTATGTTTTCTTCATATCTGTAACATGGGGAAGATGTACAAGTGCTTGGGAAAAAACCAAGGGCAATGTTGTTGGAATGGGGCAGAGTTTCTTTTAACTAGACAAACGAATTCATTGCGTTAACAGGGGAAGGAGCCTCAGAGCTTTCATTTCCTTCTGCGGGTTCTTTCTCTTTTTTACCACTGTATTGTCCAATAAAGGAGCCATCCTCATTGAACTGACCATTGACTCCTTCTCCATAGTCAACTAAACTATCATCGCTGTCTTCTTTTTTCACAGTTCTGTCTGAAGGTGTCCTGCTTCCTTTTTTAAGAGGCTTGTGGTCATCAGCATCACTGAAAAAACAAAGGTGTTAATTTTTTTAAGTATTCAACATGGAGTGAAATGAAAGTGCAAAAGAAGTCATGCATGCAATTTTTTGAAAATTATGTGTGGCCCCACAGTCCTTTAGTAAACTCAATCATGTGGTGGAGACAAAATTAATACAATGGAACAGATATGGATATGATGCAGTAATGGTTTAAACACAGGGTAACTTCAGCAGTGGAAGTACATTTTCCCCATCGTGCATGGCGTCGTACTGACAAAAGTTTCAACTCCCAATTTTGAAGCAGTATTTATAAAAATGCAAGCATTTGGGAGGGCCTTTTTTCCTCAAATGGGAAGCTTATGATGTGCTGTTAAATTAGTCTGTTAAACATCTTAATTCTTGATTCCTGAATATGAGTGAGGAATGAATTTGATTAAACAAAAAACATGTATCCTCCCCATTATTAGGAAGTATCATAAACAAAGCATTGTTTTTGAAATAATTTGTTACATTACACATTCAGCAGGTTTGAAATATTTAACCTTACCTTTCAAGAGACCTATATATTCCATTAAAAGGATGCAGAAGAAACAAATGAAAATAGCCTAAGAAGAAAAGCAGAGTCCATATCCTGATAGTGATCAATATTTAGTCAAATAAGAACCAGTGCTTAATTTGCCATAAATGTAAAGGAACTAAAGTTCTGGTTTAATAGAATTTATGACTCATTAGCAGTTTTGGAGAAAAATGGTGCCTAGTCCTTAACTTTTCTGGAAATAAGTACTGGCAACTATAGAAACCATGGTCTTGGTGCTTGATGACTACATCCAATAAGGAGAACATTTACAAATGTTATGATTCCCTGTGCACTGATAGCAATTCCTACACTTTATCAGTCCATACCAACATCCTGTTACTCCAGTCACAAGAATGAAAGTGGGCAACATTTTGCTGGAACTACATCTACAATAATGTAGTTTAGCATTAAAAGGATAGGTGTATACTTAACTGGCAATTTTTAGGAATCATTTCCACATGGTTACATGTGATGCCATTTGTAGCATGTGTAGGAAATCATCATGTGATTTATGCATTCATTTCTCACATGATTATGCTACATCATAAGCTTGGGAAGCTAGTATTTTCTCTATATGCTACAGAAACGCAGGAGAAAGCCATGAAGAAATCACATGCTTTAAAATATCTGGCCCATACATTGCTACTATTCTAGCTATGTGTGAGTCACATCTAAGCTTACCAGTTTGGGAAAATAGTTTTTTTTAAAAAATCTTGCAGAATTATGCTGGTGCTATCAGGCTGTATGAACAATGATAAAAGTGAACAGAAAATAACATGAAACAGGGTACAAATGTTTTATGTTATTTTCTTTTCACTTTTATCATTGTTCACGCAGCCTGATAGCACCAGCATAATTCTGCAAGATAGGCTTTTCATCCTCCCTGCAAGGTTATATAAATTATCATATACCCAGTTGCATGCTAGTTCTCAGCTAGAAAACTGGCATATGGGCATACCTTTGGAATATCTCAGAACAGGGGGAAGTGTTTGGTTGAATCCTTCAGAATTAATTCAATTCATGGTTTTAGGGCTAATTACAGTTTGTCGAAAGCCATTCAGAGCCACAGTTACACAGTGCATGGGGACCTCCCTTTGCTTCACATACAGATGCCTTATCTGATGGTATCGCTTTGTTGTCACAGCCCACCACATCTCTTGCAAAAAAAGACACCCCGAAGGGATCATTTTGGGGTGCCAATTATATATCCAGTAATACTTGTTTTGTCCTGCCTCTAAACCTTGGGCCTCTCTTTCTCTCCCCCCTCCCAACTCACTTACTCAGTCAGTCTCATTATTCTGCTTCTTTTCTAACCTCCAGTATTATCTACTCCTAACTGCCAAGCAAAGTTTAACTCTCAGTGGAAAGGAGATGCTAATAGGACAAGATGCAAAAGTGTGCCGTGCAATGAGGTAATAGTACAGCGATGGAAACTTGTGGATTCTTCACATGTTGTTGGATTGCCGTTCCCACCATGCCATATTATTGGCTAGACCGGTTAAGTGTTTGATTACAGACTAACAACATCTGGAGGCCACACGTTGTCCACAATTGTGTCTTTAGCTCACTTAAAAGCCATACCCCTTTGCAAAGTTGGTGACATCCTTGATTGATTGACTGATTGTATTTTTATCCCACTCCCATTAGTGCTGAGGCACTACTTTTGGGTAGATACAACAAATATAAAACAGATGACTAAAAGACTAAAATCAAATTGCAAATAATCATAAAAGCAGATGGCGCAAAGCAATCATTTAAGAATCATATTATTTATTGTGATATATCATCTCATCATCTATATCATCTCACTTCAGAACATTTGCTGTCTGTAAAGAGATCCTGAGAACTCCCTTCACATTTCTCAATGCATCTAAGCATTTAAAACTGAACACTTAATCTTGAGGTGCTAAAACAGGATTAAGGTAGTTCTTTGATTGCACTATAGACTTTTCATCCCACCAAGAGTTCTGACATAATTTTTTGCATGTTGTTCAAATTCATTGCATTGTGTCTGTCACAGCATGCTAGTAAAATACAGAGAAGAAAATGGTGTGCTGCTATTGTGCCTGACACTAGACAAGCACCTACGTTAAGGTGTGTAACCTACAGCGTTTCAGCTCAATGTGGCCTCCCCATAGACATATGCTTGGTTCCCAGGACACCACTCTTCCCCAATTAATTTTTAAAATTTTAAAAATGGCTCAAAATGCCTTTCCATACTCTGGAATGCATGGGAGCAATTCAGACATGTTTTCAGGGAAATCACAACACCCTGGGAACCCATACACTTCTAAAATATTTCAATGTTTTTAACAAACCTCCCCCCCCCCACTATAGGGCAAAAGGAGGCTTTTTTGGTACCTGTCCCAATTATTATAAGAAAAATTAGGGGAGTGAGTTTGTATAAACAGATATTGTCCTGCAATGTCAGGGTTCAGTGCATGCAGCTCACAGACATCTGGAGACCGCTCACTTCATCTTAGGCAAATATGTCCTACTGCTATTCATATCATTAAAACTACTGGTACCAAAACATTGTATCTATTCTAATACATTATGAATACTTTCACTTGAAAAAGAATTAAGGCAAAAACAGTCAAGCAATGTATCACATTTAGCTTGTAGAATGATAAATTGTTTTTAAAAGTCACAAAAAATGAAAATAACAAAGGTACAGGAAGAAGCTGCTAAGCAGTTCAAAGATTGTTCACTTATACACTGAGTTCAATTTAATTCCTTAGAAAATATGCTTATTTTGCGGTATCATTTTGTCCAAACAGCAGAGTTTTTATCAATACTACCTGTTGCAAACTCAGTATGCATCCTTTATTTCCATTCATTATGACTAAAAATGCTAGCAGCTTGTCATATTAGAATATATCATCTTATCATTGCATTTAAGAAAGCCCAATAGGGTTATCTTATCCGTAATGAAGAAATAGTCTGAAACTACAACAGGTCGTTAGAAGACCAAACTGAAATAAAGTACAGTTCCTTCACCTGTTTAAAATTAATCAGGTATTTCCTTTTACTTATTAGATTTCATCTATGTAATAGAAACATAATGGAAACATTCAGTATAATATTATTGAAAAACCAGGTCATAATTGCATAAATATACAAGGCAGCAATATACCATACTGGGCCTGTATGACAATGTAGACATTTAGGTGATATGAAGGTAAATCAAGACACTTTACAGGAAACATGCAGGGTGAGCATATTCATCCATGAACTTAAGTTATACATACGTCACAAGTGAAATTAATGCAACTTCTTAATCAGGTTCTTAACTTAGCCTGCATGGAAAGTTTAATGTTTTTTTTAATAGATATATAATCCAATACAAACAATGTTATTTGCTTAAAAAAATAATCATATTTGTCTCATTTGTTGATTGTAATTTAGCACAATGTTATGTGTAAGCTGGTTAGCTGTATTGTCTTTCTTTCTAGTAACTAGAAGAACATTACCATTCCTTGTTCTCCTGTGCTTCTGATCAGGAGCAAAGTCAGGCGAGACAATACAAGTGCATACCAGTCAAGTGCCTGCCTGTACACCGCGGCAAGTTATCATATTTTAGAATGGTCTCATGTACTTGTAGTATCTGCCAATGAGGAGATCAAATAGGTGGAATTTGGTGTTTTTGTTCCATTCATAGGTGAACTCAACACATTTACAAGTTCTCAAAGACTGACAAATACATTCCTAATATATGAGAGAATTCAGAAGGAAATTAACCCACAATGAAAATTAAATTTGAAGACTTTAGATTAAATAACATGATAGCTTTCCAGAAACAATTCAAAAATATTTTTGGACAAAGAGATGTCACTGTTTCTTTGCCTCCAAACACAAGTGCCTTGTACTGGCTAATCAACGGAAAGAAATTTACAGTTGTAACAAAGAAGCCTGCAAATTGATGAACCACTTAGCCAAAAATGCAAATACAGATTGACTGATCTAAAGTCATCATCATCACCAACAATAATAAAGAACTATTAGCAAAAGAATCAGTATTAGCAGTAAACAGTGCTATTTGTGCATAAGTCAAATGGTTAATTACTATGAGGATAGAATTATATTTCCCTACACTTTAAGCTAGTAACATATTCAGCAAAATGTGGCTATTAAAAAGTGAAATCAAAACAAAGTAGTGTATCCTATCCCACTTTGAAGACTTCAGAAAGAAAACAATCTTAAAATCGTGTAATTGCTTTAAAACAGAACGCTCAACCCCACATGATTTAGTTTTAACAGTTTTTCTAATCTTCCATTTATATTGCCAATAGAAACATTTTATCCGCAGAAAGGAAGCACTGAAAGCTTTCATATTTTAAGCTCTAGGCAATTTAATTTGCAGTACTTATGAATATAAACAACAGAAAAAAGTCCACAGGTTGTTTCAAAACCCTAAATTTTGTTAAAAGTGGAATTAAACTAATTATAACAAACTAGAACTCTTGTTTTATACTATGCACTAAGTATCATAATATAAATGAACATGCCTTTGCAAATACAAATCAACCATGAAAGAAACATGCCATTTGGGGGAAAATGCATCAACAGTTCCAAATATTTTCTGAGCTTTTCTTTATTATTTTTATTGTGAATATCTTTATTGATCTCCTTTTCCACTGAATTTGCAATCACCCACCATAACCAAATCTAGTGGGGTAGTAAGTATTGCATAATGCACTAGAGAAGATATTTATTGCACTGGCTTACATGATTATTGTTTTATAGCACAAAATACTTTAAAAAGCTATTTAGGAAAAATATGATCAATAGTCCAAATTGTTTTAATCAGGTATGCATGTTACATAAGTATAGAGGCACTAACTTCAGAAAGTATTTGTTTTATTTATTATTGTAGAATACAGGAACTTTTTACTTCAAATAAATAAGTTCCTTTTATGAGTTTTTCTTTCATTATTTCTTCTACGTTTTTGTACAAAGTTAACCATATTCATAATCTAAAT